TTTTTGAAAATTCTGTGTCTTAGTCACGTACAAGAAGTAGACTTGTATGAGAAAGCCTAAATAAAGAAATTTCTAATAAGATTAGTATTTACTTGGAATGTGTTTCATACAAAATTAGGGGTGCCCTATTTTTATTTGCCAAATCTGGGAATCATTGTTGCTCAAAACACAATATATAATATGCTTTGGCTTTCCTGAAAGGTGGGGAGCAGCTTCTGCTTTTGTGTTAAAACCAACTGGAATAGGAGAAGCTGGCACTTTACCTGTTTAAATCCTTCTTAAACCACAAAGGTGGTAGCTTATTTACTTTATCAGCAAAATTGTTCACAACATTCACAACATTCCCTCAATGTCACTCACCTGGGTAAAGTTCTCTCAGTTAGTGACACCCTGGGAGTTGGAAGTTCAGTTTTATTCTTGAAATTTCATAATACTATTTTGACTTCCCACAATAACGAGTTTCACACAAAGACCTCAAAGTCTCTGAGCAACCTTTAATGTAGATAAATACAACTGCATCTATAGAGTGGAAGCTCAGAGGGATTTGCTCAACACACAGGGAAAACTTGCCTGTGATCACTTAAAATTTATTTTATCATTACGCTGGGCAGCTGCAGTAGTGCACCTTTACAGGCTCTATAAACCAGGGAGGTTTTACTATTTCCTGAGACTGTAACTGAACATATTCTATGTATTTTTTTCCTTCACACCCTGCGTAGCAATTACAATACCCACACAGAATTCATTACATTTTCTTTAATTCTCCAGTACAAGGGATCACAGAGAAAAGCTGGATCAAATCTGGTAGTATTGTGTCAAGGACCTGTGCAATTTTCTTGGTTAGACTGCTCAGGGAATTATCTTGGCTTGTGCTATAGAAATTTGGAATTATCCCCTAGCTTTTTCAAAAATACTTTAAAATTATCTAGCTACAGCCAACAGCTGGTTCCCAATGTGACTGCCAGTTTCAATGAAGAATTTCTTGAACACCCTGCAGAACCCATTTCTGGTATCACTACATCCAGCTTTACTGAAGGAAGTGCAATAGTTTTAAGATATATGTCTGTTCATCACTGAAGGCTCATGGAACAAGAAAAAGGAAAGTGCAGTGCATTTCACCTCGTGCACAACAGCAATACCTATCCTATCTATGAAGAACCTGGAGACCTGCTCCTTATATCAATTTATAGTCTATTTTAGCTCTTCCTCTGTTACCTTTGAATGAAAAGAAACTAAAACTCATGATTATCTGTAATAGTGAGAGACTTCACAAGTCACAAACCCCATCCTTTGAAAACTGAATGCCTCGTTCCTTCCAATGACTCCCTCCCAAAACACTCGGCAAACTCACACCCTTCAGGCACCATCTGATGGGCAGCCCAGGATCTGGGGGCAGAGCACAGGCTCCTGGTCCTGCCAGCTGGCCAGCTGCTGTCTGCAGCCTGTGTCTGCTCCAGGACGGGCACAATGACCCTGACTTACCTTGCTGCCAGAGGAATAAGTCACAGGGAGTAGAATTCCCATTAGCAAGACCCAAAAGAAGCAGAAGTGTAGAAGGGTTTAATGCTGTTTTACTTTATTTCTGCCAGAGTTTCACTCCTTTTGCATGATCCTGATTTTGCTCTCTAGTTTAGCAAGGAGCTGGTGTGGACAGCTGTGCTCTGTTCTCTTTAACAGGGACTTGTGATGGTAAGAGGGATTACCTGTGAGGGAGCCAATCTCTTCAGCACTCATCTGACAGGTTGCTGCAGAACTGGTATGACTTGAGTTCAAAATCACGCTGAGCAATGGATTAAAATAAAGTAACAGAAATTATTTGACTGCACTCATTAATTAACAGCTGGAAATTACTGAGGAAGCAGAATAATGAAAATAGGAAGCTGGTTCTTTTATTTATCATACAGGAGTGAGAAATAAATGTTTTAACTCTACACAGAAGCATAATATGATGATCTATAAAAAGACAAGGGAAACAGAAAGACAGAATGCAGTCTGTTCAAAAAACAGCTTTGTATGAAAGACTAAAATTTGAATATTTCCAAAGATTTATTTTTTTATTTTCTAGGATAGCATGTAGGCTTCTCATCAACTTCCCCAAGATTTATTTTCAAATAAACTAAAACATTCCTGATGGAAACCCAATTTTGATGAACAAAAATTTTCCAAAGTGACTTGAAAACACCAGCAAAAGAGGTTGTACAACATCCAGACTCTTGGACTCAAAACATGTAAGGTTTTTTAACCTCTCTGTTTATGTTATGCATTCATTTGATGAAATTGCTATGGGCTTGAGAAATCCTTAGAAATTTATCATTCTTTGGTCCAAGTCAGCATTTGTTTTTCTGAGTTTGAATTATATATGTACCTAATTTTAAAGCATACAGAAAGTCAAGAAAATGCAAGAACATGCTTGAAGAATGGCCAAAAATAAATACCAAGAATGGGAGCCACTGATCAACTTACTCTTATATTTAGCAGTTCAGTTGAATACAGTGGTCTTTAGATTTAGGGCATTAAAAATATATTTACAGACTCCTGCCAGATTTTTGTAAAATATTTTTTCATCCAGGACTGGCTGTGTATCTCACTAAAGAGGAACAGCAGATTTGCTTTCAATAGCACAGATGTATGGAAATGGAAAGCTGGAATAGGTGCACTGTGTTATGAATGGTGTTGCTCTTCTTTACCACAAATCCCACCCATGAAGGAAAGGGTAAAAGCTCTTCAATAAACCTGCAGTCTGGGACTTGCTGTATTCCAGAAGGCAGTGCCCCTGCATGTGACAGGGACTGGCTTGTACAACCCATTTACAAGTTAAAATCCTCTGCCAGACTTGTTGCTTCCTTTAGAACTCGGTCTGCAGGATTGCAGTGTCAATTGTGATTGCAATTGTGTCAACACAATTCATGAGCTGGCATTGAAATCATATAAATATACATTCATTTATTACTATCTCTTAATTACTTAACAAAAATCTCCAGGACATTTGAAAACATTTTCTTTTAATAAAAATAACTTTTTAAGAGTAGGAAAACTGGAGGATGCAATGGGAGATGAATGGGGGAACATGACAACTTTTAGAAAATGTTTGCATCAAGAATATATTTTTAATTGAAGAAACATGACTCATCTGTTACAGATATATCTGCACAAATATTGATACATTTTTATCTATATATCACAGGAATAGCCTTGAGTCAAAATCATATAAATCATCATTTATGGAAAACCCTAGAAGGAATTACTTCCTGTTATTTAAAATTCATCTCAAGAGCAAAGAAATGCCATAAGAAATTTGCCCAAGATTTTCTCTCCAGTACATATGCAAATATCCATACACTCATTTTTCTCCCTTTACTTGACATTTGCTTTGCTCACATCCATGATATGACCCTTTCTTCTCTGTTGGAGAGGGAGGACATGAAACCCAACAAGTTAACAGTTTATGTACCTAGTCTGTAGTTCTTGCACATTTTTCCATTTATGATCAGTGTTTATATTTACATGGGAAGGAAATAGCCTGTCCAGTTCAGCACAGTACTAAATATCCTAAATCTTTCAAAATAATTGTTTTGGCTACTCTCTTCCTTTTGGACAAACAGAGGGAACACAAGCTCTGGGTGTGAGTCTCCTTATGCAGAGTTCGGGTTTCTACTGCTAAACAATCATGTCCCTAGCTGAGAACCAACCAGAAAAGTCCTGGGAAATTAAAATTCTCATCCTTAGAAGGCAGCCTTCTAAGAGTCTACCCAAGAGTCTAAAGAGTGCTCCAGCTTGTTATTGTCTCCCCCAACATCAGCTTTCACTCCAGAGAGTTACTCAGTGCAAGAAGGCAGCCAACAGGATAACAAAGTGTTATGGGTCCAGGCAGTAAAGAGGAAATTCTTCCCCAGATCTGTCTCATATAATTTTGCACACACTCAGAAGCACCACACACCCCCCCACAAATCCCTTCAAGTGGCTCACAGTCCTCATAACATGCTGGTTAGGAGAGGCAGACTTTCCAATACTTGATGAATCGGTATTTAAAACACCAATTTTAACACCTGCAAAGGTGTTTTGAGCAAAATTTGAATTTCTATTTTAAGATAAATGCAATTTTATGACGCAGTAAAAGGCAGCAGTAATGTCTTCAGAAGCAGTACACATGGATAAGTATTCAGGATTTAAATGAGATTGCATGTTTATGAACTTAAAACAACTACAAAACTGTGATGGAATACAGTCTACATAGACCATGTGGTTTTGCCCTTCCCCTACCTGCATCTTGTATAAAATTAATCTGATGGCAGTGCCATTGGCAGTGGCTGGATTCCTTACTAAGGGAAGGGGAGCATCTTTGTTTGCATGCAGCCACACACACCCACCCAACCCAGCACACCACCTCAGCACTGGGCACACTATCCCTCCAAAGCAGCACGTTCATGGAGGGCTTCAAAAGGGGGACAAAATTCCCACCATGCTCCCCTCTCCCCTCTTTCACAGCACATGCAGGCAGAAGTCCCTGGTTAAAAGCATGCTCTTGGCATATGTGTAAAATTCCTTCCAAGAATTGTGATTATTGGTTCACAGTTTAAGAGGAAAGGGAGAGCAGCTGAAGGGAAATAGGAGATATATTGTGGATCGAAGCTGCATCAGACACAGTTCACTGCAGGAGGCTGGAGGCTATGCCAAAGCACCAGCAACAGAAGAGAGAATTTTCTAGTGTGAGCTGTAGCAAAATACTCTTAAAAAAAAAAAAATCAGACCTGAAAGTGAATAGGCAGGAAACTGATGTAAAAACCTGATTCTCTAAGGACATGGGCTCAGAAAGCAGCCCTTTGGTTTATATTTTCACCACTTACTGCTCACAAAGAGCAGGGAACATACCAACATAATAACTGATAACAGAGCTCATAAAAAGGAATCCAGGAACTGTATGTTTTGAAGGAATTGCTTTAGAAAAATGGAGGCGCTGACCAAAAAGCTTACAGCTGCCAATGTGCCTTTTTCACTTGCAGGTTGGTCTCTCCAATGCCAGCAGATGAAAGGATATTCAGTTCATGCTCTGAGCAGCATTTTCATTTCCTCTGGGTCTTGTGGAGCTCCTGCTATTGACCAACTCATTCTGCAGCCATGCCCCCACATCTTTTGGCATCCCAGACACCTACAGGTCAGTGGATTATGGAATATTCTTTGATGCAAGTTGTTGTTTGTTTTCTATCATACACCAGCCTTTTTGCTAAATGGTGGGGATTGCAGCATTCCTTACATCCCCTTTAGGGTCTGTGAAATGGGGTTCAAAGAGTGGTACTGTAGGCAAGGACTAAAATGTGACTCTACTCAGCTACTGCAGCCATCCCTTAGCATTCTGCAGCAGCACTTTACCAAAATTCCCTGCTATCTTTGGTGTGATAGAGCAACGAACTCCATGGTGTTTCAGAGACCTCTTTGGACATTTGGCCAGGCAAGGTAGACCTTCACTGTGTCAGTTTTGTGTGGCCTGGTTCTTAGTACTGGGGAGAGCCATAGAGGTGCTATTTTCCCCTTTGGTAACACTTTTTGTTCTGAGACCGTGTCAGAGTTACCTGGAAATACATTTGTACATTACCAAAAAACATGCCATCACTCTTTTTTTTCCCCTTTGATACAGAAAAAGAAACTCATTAACATTTCACGAAGAAGTTACATAGCTCTGAGCAGTGTTTCAGTGTTTAGTTGTCACATTACAAAAGCTAGGATTTGTGAATCAAGAGCTCAAAGACTGATAAATGGTCAACTGGAAATTAGCTTTTTTTGATAGAAGAAGCTGATGCCAAACTTTTGAGCTTCCTTATCATTAGAATGAGTGCTACCTCAGTTGCTAACTTATTTGCAACCTTTATCATCATACTAGGCAGATCAAGATAGCCTGAACTCTGTAGAACTTAAAATCCTGGTCCAAATATCACACTTCTGCCTGTCTCTGTTTCCTGTGAGTTTGAAGCCATCGTCATTTGAGATAATTTTTCATGTCAGAGCCAAAGTGAAACATCAGAGCTGGCCTTTGCAGGAGAACAGAACAGATCTGACTACAGCCAGTGGAGGCAGGCAGAAGTGCTAAGGAGGGACCATCACAGCTCACAGCATCTGCTGGGACAGATAAAGCAAACCCACTTGCATGAAAACCTGGGGAGGGAGGAAGGGAGGGAGGGAGACATAAGAAAAGGATTAAAAACTAAGCAGAAGTATATTTATACATATAAGAATAAGCTGGCATGTGCAATGCACATATGAAAGCTAACAATACTGAATTTAAACATTTTGTTAAAAGCTTTGGGGAGGTCAACTCAGGTCACAGAGCAGAGATATTGTGAGCAGAATGGAGAAGAAAAGCTCATAGTAAAGGGAAACGAGACAGCCAAGTGAAAAGAGGGCATTTAACTTCTTGGGGTAGGAATTCTTAAAAGAGATGGATAAGATAAGAAAACTAATGCAACCTGACTTCTTCATTTCTTATTAATGTGGAGCAAAAAGTGTAATGAGGATATGTGAGAGATTACAACATATTGCAGGGGCACCTAGGAGAGAGAGAAAATCCCTGAATCACTCGCCAAGTAGATAAGGAAGCTTTGATATAAAAATAGCAATGACTATCAGCTACAGATGCTTAGTACCTTTGTTCCTCTACCAAAGAAAAGCCCGTCAAGTGAGAGCTGATATTTCCAGTTTCATGTCTGATAACAGATCTACCTCAAAAGGAGACCTCAGGCACTGGGGCACAGCTCACTGTTCAGGATTTTTCCAGCGCTCCCAGCCTTCATTTTAATACCCTACACTTTAATAGCTGCAGAATCAAATAAATGGGAAGTTAAAAAAAGAAACTCAGGTCAAAAATTCTGGTTTTGGCAATGTTCTTCAGCAGTGGCCACATGCCAAAAGCAGTAATCCCTAGGATGCTGTGCTGGGGTGTCAGTGCTTGGCAGGAGCAGAGGGCAGAGCAGGACTGCTCTGTTTCTGACAGCCTGGGACACCCAGGGCTCCATCCCAGCTCACAGAGAAACCCAGGAAAGACCAAGAGAGAAACTGCCAGCAGACAGAAGAAAAAAGCTCTTGAAGGTTTTTGCAGTAACAGCAATCTCCTCTGGACTGCCCCAGGGGGACTGATCTGACCTCCTGTCCCCTCCAGGAATCTCCATGGCTGGCCAAGAGGAGGAGGAGGGAGCGCAGGGTGCCCCAGCAGCTGTGGGGTGCCTCTGACCTCTCTGGCAGCCCACGCTGCAGAACCCAACTGTCCCCATGGTGCTGTCATGTCAAAATGAGAGGGAATCATCTGGAACTGCTCCTGCAGCCGTGTTACCCTGGAAAAAGCCAACAACAAGCTTCTGCTGGGTTCAACACAATGGTGCTGAGCCTTGAGATCATGAGTGAAATGGCATTAGCATTTCCATGAGATGTTTTCAGAACTTTCACTTTAATAAAACAACATCATCCCCAGAGCACAAGACAACAATTTTCAAGCCAAAGAGAATTAATGAGGCTGAGTAATGTTTGCATCTTGCAATATCCTAAATCCTGTGAGCAGATATGTTTATGTTCAGCAACCTGAATACTACAGAAAACATTAATTTTTACCATATCACTTCAGCTGAGCTTGAGTTACGGACTAAAAGTTGCTTTATTACAACTAATATTACAGCTGGAAAAGAACTTTAGTTTCATGTTCCCGATTTCTTCATTTTTGTGCACTTTTAAACACATATGCATGTGCCAGCATATTTCACAGGCCTTTTGATGTTTTATTATCTCTGTATGTGGGCGGTTTGTTTCCAGCTATAGCTTGAAGTGCAAATTTCCCTCTCAGTTTTCCTATGTGAAGGTTAAAAATACAATCATGAAATATCTGCCACATGTTTTCTTTCCTGGGTTTCCAAAGCAGAAATCTGAAACAAGGTACTTCTCTTCAAATATTTGCATTATTTAAAAATGCAATATAAATATAAATATTTTTAAAATACTCCAACAAATAAATAAATAATAATCAGCTGTTAAATAAACCTAAAGAGATCCAAGGCTCACTGTCCCTAGTTATTTCCCCATATCCCTGAAGAATTAACTGTAATGCCTGCTCTGATAAAAATCTCCTGGGAGCAACAGGCATAGCAGCAAAAGGAATCACAACGGGTTGGAGATTAACTCAGCATCTGCTGTTTGCAGCCCACTGTGTGCTTCTGGGGCTTTGCATCTTATTGTGACTCATATGGAAATGAGGAGATGGATCCCAAACAGAGCTTTGCTTTCAAAATCAAACTTAAAATCATCTATCTCTTAAATGAGCACTTCCCTCTGACAAACTGAAAATGAACATGAAAGTGTTAGCTGTGAGTTATTTTTCATTTTTTATCCAGTGTTCTTGCAAAGCAGGACAGCATCTTCCCAAATCTGTTGGTCCATTGGTCAATGGCAGCAGCAAAACACTATGTCATGGCTCCTGGGAATCTTGCTGTCTAGAGGAGGAGGCAGCAGGTTAAGTATTTTGCTCTCTATGTCTGAAAGCAGGAGTGTTTTCTATGGAAATTGATGTTTAAAAGTAATTGCAGCACCCTCAAGCTTTAAGTGCTGCCACAGGTTAGAAAGGGCCAAAGGGAGCTGGCTGACTTTTGAGATTAACACTTTTTTCAAAAGACAAAAAGTTGCATAAGGGTCTTCCCAGCAAGCAGGTCTGAGCAGGGCAGTGCTGCCCCTGGGCCAGCTGGGCTGAGCCAGCCTGCAGCAGCCTGCCAAAAACACTGCAGAGCAGCGGCAAAGGGCAGCAGGGAGAAAAGTGGGGTTTGCTCAGACTGATTTGTCTCCCTTTAGCAACCTTGAGGTGCTTTGTGCCCTTTATTACTGCAGTAGCCTTGTGAAGGACTTGTGCCTCACTGAAACAGACATTGAGAGAAAATAACTAAAAGGTCAATTTTTAATTCTCAATTTCTTTAACTTCAAGACTATCAAAGTGATCCTTGTTAAGTTTCATGAGAACAGATGGAAATGTGATTTTTCAAGTTGTGGATACTCCTTTTAATGATGCCAGCAGAAGAGAGCTGAAGCAGCATCTGCAAAGGTGTGGTTCTGAGTGACCCAGCACTACTGACATGCTGTTCCTTTTCCAGGAGGTGGCTGCTCTGCTGCTGCCAAGCATAAGCAAAATAGGTACAGTACTGGTGATGAGGTGGGGTTTCTTAAATCCATGCTGGCCAATGGTAATAGGATTCTTAATCCACCAAATGCTATGGTGACAGAAGTGAATTCAGTCTGAAGATTGGTCTTTCCTCTACACTTTTGGATTCATTTTGTTTTGATAATATTCTTAACACTTTCCCCACAGGCAGATTTTCTTTTCCAGTTTTGTGGCTGCCTTTCCTTTCCTTTCCTGTGACTTTCAGTACCCTTTAGCCACTGTTCTGGAGCTAATTTATTGACACCTTCTTCCTCTCTCCCTTCTCTACCCTCTCTTTCAGCATGGTGTGAACTGTATTTTCCAACTAGTCCTAGAACTGTAAGAGTGTGTCTTTTCATTTGTGGGAGAGATGAAATATTAAAACAAACATTTCCCTGCTTCACTCTCAGTAAGAGCTTAAAGGAGCTATTACAGGGATTATTTTTCCTCTACTTACTGGAAAACAAAGATAAAAATGTAGCTTTCAAGTAGGTCATTTAATCTTGGAACATTTAATTGTGAGGTTGCCAGCCATGATTTGATTTCTCATCTTCTATTATTCCAAGGTTACAAACCTTCCAATTCATTTATATTTATAAACAATGTTCCCACTATATTACATGCATGGATTATTAGGAACACCTCCCAGTAGAGTACTGTCAACTTTTTGTACATAATTAATTAGAAGCCTCAAAGCTGCCTTTTATCAAACTTTCACAGAGGTTTAGCATATCAGAAATCTCAAAATGAAAGAACTCTGTTTAGACCAAAGGACTATCCAGCTTACCCAAGTAAGGAAATACTTCGTATTTCATGGGATTTAAAAAAAAAATTAAAAATAATTAAAACCAAAGTGTAAGTCACCTAGGGAAGAATGTGCTTGCAGTGATAACAGAATTATATTTCACAGTAAAGGGAACCAAACCCTGGCTCCAATTAACAGTCCAGTTCAGATAAAATGAGTCAAAGGAGAAAACAGCCTGACCAAAACG